CTCTGAGGTCTACTTGTTGCACCCAGTCAGCCTCAGTAGTGCTCATTCCACCCATTCTGGATCGACGTTTTCTCTGTCTATGTTTTGTGTAATTCTCTAAGCGTCTTGTGACCTTTCTGGACTGCTAAGGTGTGGCTGTAACTGCTGTTTCCAGTGTCGTCTGAAAGCTGTGCAGGTCATTTCACAAAGAAAAGTTTCCAGCTGAAGATTCTAGGAAGTAGTGAGAGGAAGGGAAGGCTAATGAGGTCTGTGTCTTGGGCAGGGAGGAAGAGTAAGACTTGAAGCGAGCTAAGGAGTCAGGAGCTAAGGAGCTGGCGGGCTAGGTCCTGCAGCACGGAAAAGCATCCTCTCACCCAGAAACCTTTCTCAATGTCCTCCTCTTCCTCCTCCAGTGTGTTAAGAGCTTTTGTGCTATCCCCCCGGCTTTTCATCTAGTAAGAGAAATGATTAATCTCCCCTGTGCCTATACCTTTGGCCAAAAGACTGTTCAGAGAGAGTCCCTGCCCTTTCAGCTTTAGGATAGCTTATCAGTTGTAGGATAGTTTAGGATAGTAGTTGACACATTGTGCCCTGCAATGTTGTCAGCTGGATGTCTTCAGTCCCAGTACAGCTCTGCTGGCACAGTGCCTTGTGGCCATGTCCTCTGCAGCTGCCCAACATGCAAAGATTCAAAGCTATGCAGAGAGACCAAGGCAGCCTCACGCAGGGCTATGGACAGCCTGTGGCTCAGATTCCCTGCTCCCCAACCCTAGAGAACACACCTGATAAGAGGACATCCAGCATTATGCAGGAACCAAAAATCAAAATGACTAATGACATAAACATTCCCCTGAGGGTTGGCCAGTGCAGTGTAGCAAAACCAGCAAGCACAGCCCTTGCAGTCACGGGAAGAGCAGAAGAGGTTCCACAGTCACTTCTTTTTCTCTATCACTTCTGAATGCTATCAGCTTTACTCCTGGCCTTTCCATAGTCAGCATGCCACAATCATCAGTAATGAAACAGCTAGCACTGATGCTATTATTTAAAGATAACAACCTAATGAACCAGTAGCAGTGTGTGCAGAAGAACAGTACTTCCCCTGTTTATGATCAGTTAGATTCTGCAAGGTTATATTTGCAACAGTAATGCCTTGATGCTTACAGGATTTTATACTACAGAGTCAAACAAAATGCACATATTTGGTTAGATGTTTTGACACCACTGGTTCATGTATTATAGCTGGTCTGAAATGATTGAATGGAAATACAGTCAATAAACAGGATTATTTTTATCCAAGATAAATCACCCAACAAATATCAGCAGCAAAGAAACCTACAGGGTTTAAATAATCTGCAGGCAGAGTCTAACCTCCTGCTCCAGTAACTGCAAACAAACTATAGAAGAGCACAAATAGTCCAAGGACCTTGACCTTAGACAAGAATAAGGACCAGAAGGGGGAAGCTGCTTCATGACAAAGCAAAATACTGCTTTTCTGCTGAAAATTCCAGCAAATATTCTAGTTCTGACATTATCTTTCAGGAGCAGCTTGATCCAGCTGCTCCGCCAGGGAAGCTAGGTTGGGAGCTGGGGTAGTAACAGGGCCAGCTGGGCCATGCTGGCCCCAACACAGTGCAGCTCCTGAGGACACCATGAGAGAGCAGAGCAGCACTGGTAGGTGGCAGTGCCTATGGTCAGTCACAGCCTGGTGACAGCCAGGCTTGTCCACAGGGCTGAGGCAGGGTTGCCCTGGAGCTGGGCCCTTGACCCAGTCAGTGGGTCTGGATCAAGCAGACCTCCAGCAAGGTTCAAGGACTAGGACCCGAGCTTCAGTCCTGAGCTGAGCTGGGGAGCCCCAACACACATCTCCTTCTCACTAAAGTCTGAGGTTACACAGCTGCACCTTCCAGGACTCAGCCTTGAATACCAATAGCTACATCTTTGGGATCAGCAAGGGGGAAGAGCTTAGAGAGCATATTGGTGCTTTCAGGACCTGAAGAATATATTGTATGCTAAAGCTTCTTAGAGGCTACTGTATACTCAACCCTTCCTTTAGGATTTTGAGCGACCCAGTGAAAATTTTTATCTGCTGGCACCAATTTCAAGAGTAGAATTGTCACATACATTTCAGCTGTTCTCAGCCTTTTGTTTATTTAATTTTTCCTTCTGTATTTGTTTGCCTGCAGCCCTTGGCAAGACACCGTGATAGGAAAGATCTCTGTTTTAACAAGCTTTCAGACTGAGACTGAGGCTGCTGGCAGGATTTGAGAATTCAGAGACTTCCCATGTTTTGTTTGCTCTTCATAGAGACGGATAGGTTATCAATATTTTGGCCCTATCCACATTAAATTTCTCACTCAGCAGACCAAAAGAAAAATCATGTTAAAAATCAAGATTAATTAAAGAATAAATGGGAATAAACAAAAGAAATAATTTGCATAACGTTCCCCATCTGGATACTTTGAAAAGTGTATTTCCCTTTGCTTCGTTAGAGAAAGGAAACAAAAATACCTTACAACTTTCAAAAGCCATGTGTTCCCTGTGGGCCCTGTGCATCTGCTTCATGTCTTACTAGATTTTTCTTCTTCTGTTTATCAAGTCCTTTCTTTTCAAGTGTTTCAGCACATCTTGTTTGAAATCAGCTCTCAAAATAAGCTGCTTTGGAATCACAGCTACCAGGGTTCTCAGCTTTTCTGTCCAGCTACACAGACTACTGTAAATCTGAAATTTGAAATAAGCCTGACTGACTATGAAAGAAGAATGTGCCACAATTTTGACATCCAGGGCTTCTGTTCTAAATCTAAATTCTAAATGCCAAGAATTCATTACAATACTGTCATAACTCAATTCCTATACATTAACTCTCATTTTCTGATATGACTCCTTTGTTAAAGAAGTGGCCTGGGGCTCAAAGTCCCCTTCTTCATTATGTGAATTCTCTAGTCACTCTTTTACAATTTAAGACAATGCATCATTTAAATATTTCCATTAATATTTCATGACCAGCATCTGCAACAAAAGCCCAAAGAGTAAACTCTCAGGTCCATTATGCAATGTGTCTGGTTCCTGTGCCCCCTCTGATATGCACCAAAATAAGATCTTGATGATGACATGTCAGCTTTTTTGCATTTGGGCAGATAGTGCTATATCTTTTTATGAACGTTACTTTGTCTTTCAAATGCAGACTTCCGTTTTATGTTTTGAATTCAAAACACATTTGAAATAAACTGTAAGGAATAAATTGGTTCAGACAAGATTTTAAGATCAGAATTCTCTCTAAATTACTTTGTCACTCACTTCAAACTTAAGCTCTAAGCTCTGTGTTTCTGTCGCAATTCCTTTTTGCTCAGAAAGCAGGAAGATATATAAGAAGGCAAAAATGGGAAACTGGCTTGCACCTTGCACAGTATTACTCTTTCACATGCTGCAGATTCTATGCAAAATATAAGACCTTCTAAACCTATATATCTTCTTAGAAATTTACCACTTGAGTATGTTATCGAGTTAGCAGTAGTTACATTTCTATACAAAAACGTAATGTATGTAATATTGTGGAACACTGAGGATCTTACATAACTTTGTCTGCTTTCTTTTACCACTACTGCATATTACTTTAAAAGTCATAAAACCATTTTGTCACAAATAGCTGCACATGTAGAGGCTTTCTACATTTTTAGCTTTATAGCTAGCTTGAAAATTTTTACTTGTGTCACTGAGAGGCAATTGTGAAAGAGAAATTCAGCTCTTTACTTCTTAGTAGCTTAGCAGAATTCAGAAAAACGAAATGGGAGTGGAGTTTCCTAGTTTGCTACAAAAACAAGATTTATATTATTATGCTTTGCATGCCTGTGTTGGTATAAGAATGTTTGTGATGCTTCTCTCTTCATTGTTCTGTCAATTTGTTTCCAATAATATCTGGATCTATTGCCAAGTCTCAATCAACTTTACAGATGGAGAGCAATCTAAACAATATTAAACTTCCAGGTGAAAGGTGAGACGTTAAAGGAGAGAGACCATTTTAATTCTCTTCTGGGGGAAGAAGTACAGTGTAACTTCAACCTTTATAGAACATCAGATAACCCCATAGAAGAGATAGATTAGGAATAATGTAATCAAGGAAATATGATTCATTTGGATTTCGATATCAAAGGATCCATTCTTCAGTCTAAGTTCTTCCCCTTTTATAAAACCCTACGTGCAAATCTGACTTATTTTTGCACAGTTAGGATATTGTTAACATCCACTTTTGCCCTGTCTCACACATGGATTTTCTAATGTCTAATAAGTGAGCTCACGCTACAGTTTTAATGTACTCTGGTTTACCAGGAAAGCACCCACGAGACAAAGATCCATGGGAAACTAAGTTTAATTAGCGCTTTTTCTCACAAAAATCTTTCTTCATGTTCTAATCATTAAAATAATGTTGGTCAAAGAATGAGATAACTCTGACCCAAAGAGAATAACAAAATTAATTGCTGTTCTGAAAGATGTATAATGAGTATAACCAGTAATTCTTGCTCATTCTTGTTTTACAGATGAAGCAGGTTGGTCATGATGGCTACAACCCTGCCTCTGTAGCTGAGTGGCTGGATTCCATTGAACTGGGTGACTATACCAAATCCTTTCTAATTAATGGCTATACATCGATGGACCTCGTAAAAAAAATCTGGGAGATTGAATTAATTAATGTAAGTTGATCAATTTATGGCAAAAATTCCTCTCAAATGTATTGTAGCACATGTCATTACATACCAAAGAGGAAGCACAATAGAAATTGCATTAGAAATACTGTGATCAGGTGCTGTTAATGATTACAGCAAGTACTGTTAATGATTACAGCTTTTATACCTATGCCTAGGCTCACTGTAACTTCTGCTTCCATTAGCTTTGCTATTGTCTTAGCTTGTTAGTTAATCATCATGACTGTGCCTGCCTTCAGGTTTCTGAATGACATTTTAAATATATTTTTGTAGTTCTTAGCTGCAAAATGTTAAGTCTTAGATTTTAAATTGTGTAAAAGTAGTACTTGCTATAAAGACACAATTTATTCTTTTCCATATAATCTGGCTACATTAAACATAAAATAAAAAAGAAAATTTAGAAACAGTCAAGAAGTTATATTAAAGGTCTAAAATATTTTAATTATCACTCATTTTTGGTTGGAATTTTATTTTATATGAGTCAGTTAAATATAATTACCCAAATATGACCAACTGTAAACTTTAATATGGACTACACTGCATAATAACTTGGAATAAGATGAATTTTCTGCTATTACGTAGAGTATATTGACAATACAGCTTTATCGATTGAATTTTCTTGCAAGTGTCTAAAACCTTTCATTTTTTTTTTAAAAAAAAGATAAATGGAGATAAATGGTCATGTCTTTGGATCTGCTGCAACTTTTCGAATTGTCTAGGTTGTTATCTTGTCTGGCCTTTAGGGCAATCCCTACATGGTAGAATGCCCAAATTCATACTTTTTTTGACTTCTCACAGACAAAAAAAAAGTCTACTCTTCCTTCTGGTACAGAAGTTATTGCGTCTCTGCTTGGCTGCCACAACCTTCAAAGGGCTACCAGTAGCCAGGGCCAATCAAGCATAAGATTGAGCAGCTGATGCAACTTTATAGAAGGGAACAGTTCCCAGTTCCTGGTGCGCCCCAGGCTAGAAATATGGAGAACATGAAGAGGGTGCAAAGCCGTGTTCCAGCTCTGTAGCAGGTGTACGTGGCACAAGCAGATATTTGGCACAAGCCCAAGATCATGGCTTACATAAAGGAGGCATTTCGTAGGTGACCTGTTGTTTGTTGGAATTTCTCATCATCACATTACAATTAATATTAACTAGCATGAAAACGGGCAAGAGCAAGGATCAAGCTTTGCTTTATATATTTCGCCTGTTGCACGAGAGAAAGATATGTTGTAGGTACATAATTAAAGTGTCAGGATATGATTGATAACTATCCTGGCAGCGGCTATTTATAATTGTGACTTTTTTTTCAAAGGGGCTAGAATTTTTATAAGAAATGGGGACCCTTTGCACCAGAAGCTTATGCAAATTACCAACCAGCACAGACTTGGAAAAACTGGAATGCTCTGATCACATTGCCTCACATAAATTAATTTTGCATCCTGAATATTTTGCTATAATCAACTCAGAAACAAATTACCCTTTAGCTCCCCCAAGTGGATCATTAAAACCCCATTAAATGTTTGCAGCTTCATTCCAAGCTTACTTAAAATGATGCAAAGAGAAGAACCTACACAGAAGTTAACAGGGATACACTTCTGGAAAAGTAGTATAAACCAAACCAGTTTGCTGGTATTCCTCTAATTTTGAAGATTAATATCATGTTTTCATTTAAGACCTGTGATTTCTAGAAAACAAAACAAAACAAAACAAAAAAACTCATTTTTGCCATGAGTCTCAAGGAGAATCTGTTAAACAGTATTTAGATAGATGCAGATAACTATAGAGATACATGTACCAGTATAATACTGATTTACATTTTTCACGATCACTGTTACCAGTGCAGTTCTACATTCAAATCCATTTTTTGTAAATGAGAGAAGCTCAGAATTCTTCTCTTACTCTAGCCAGTATATATTTAATTTCTTTCATTTTTTCCCTATCATTTCTCGCCAGTCTGTAGCAGCTAATCATAATAAGATAGTGTTCACTAAGGAAATCCGTAGCTTAGATAAGCATTAGCATTTTACAGTTGATAGGAATCTCTCAGAAATGGACAAGAAAAAGGCTTGAGAAAATATGCAGTCTGGCAGAACAAGATTCTTATTTCTGACCAGCATGCCTGCTGTTCAAAATCAATTTTAAAGGTTCCAGCTCCTGTTCAGGCCATGGCAAGCAAGAGCTTATTACAGAAAGTTTTCATAGAGTAATCTATAAAGGTCAAAGCCGCTAACTCTGAAATTATGGGTTCTGTCTTGAGAAGGTCAGAATCCAGGCACTTGAAAAATGACAGAAAAAAAACAGACCTGCGTTCCTGAAAGGAACTAAGAGTATCCTTGGTTTGGCGATTCCTGATGCTTTAGTTGCAAATGGAGCAAAACCTGTTTTTTCAACCTGTCATTTCAACCTGGTTCAATTACTCAGTAAAAATATATCAAGAGCTACAGATTTGATAGTGTTTTCATTTTAGCCATAAGTTTAAACAGTTTCAGCTACTGAGTGTGCCATAAAAGACATTCTTAGTTTTGGTGCTCATTTCCATTATATACTGGGAAACCATCTGTGGCTTTTAGAGAGTAGCAACACGTGTGAAGGTAGACATAATACATTTTATTAGGTTAACTAGCATAATGTAAATGGCAGGAGAGAGAAGAAAGGATTTGGCTCTCACAAGCCCTTCTTTACAAGTTTTTTTTTTCTTTCAAGAACTGATTTTTTATTATCATTATCTTTAGATGTATTATCTTCTTTTTCGGACCATCTTCTTATATGCCTGTGGATCAATTTCATGAGGTCTTAGATATTTTCTTACACCTATATTGGCAACAAAAATAGGGTAGACTATAGGGGACAAATATCCTAGAATCATAGAAAAACAGAAACGCAGAATAGTTGAGGTTAGTAGGAACCTCTGGAGATCATCTATTCCAACCTCTCTGCTCAAGCAGGGTCACCTGGAGCTCGTAGCCCAGCATGCCCAGTCAGATTTTGAGTGTTTGTAAGGGTAAAAACTGCACAATCTCTTTGGGTAGCCTGTTCTAGTGTCCAATGACCATGACGGTAAAGAAGTGTTTTCTTATGTTCAGATTCCTATGTTTCAGTTTCAAGGGTTCAAGGAGCAAGGGGCAGCACTGAGAAGAGTCTGGCCCTCTCGACATCCTCCCGTCAGATATACACGGGTAATTTCTCCTCCTGAGCCTTGTCTTCTCCATGTCAAATGGCCTCAGTAGTGTCAGCTTCTCCTCATATGAGAGTTGCCCCAGTCTCTTAGTCATTTTTGTGGCCCTCTGATGGACTCTCTCCAGTGGTTCCATGTCTCTCTCGTACTGGGGAGAAATGGACTCCAGATCCCAGCACTCTATGTGTGGTCTCACTAAAGCTAAGTAGAGGGAAAGGATCACCTCCATTGACCTGCTGGCAATGTTCTTAATGCAGTCCAAGATAGCACTGGCCTTCTTTGCCACAAAGGCGTATTGCTGGCCCATGTTCATTTGGTTTTCCAACCTTGACGCCCAGTTCCTTCTTCAGAGCTGATCCCAAGATGTTCACCAACCATAACTGGTGCATGGAGTTATTTGTCTCTGTGTGCAGGACTCTTCATTTGCCCTTGTTGAAATCCATGAGGTCCCTCTCTGCCCATCTCTCAAACCTGTCAAGGACCATCCGAATAGCAGTGCAACCACCTGGAGCAGCAGCCACTATTCCCAGTTTTATACCATCCGTGAACTTGCAGAGGGTGCACTCCAGGTAATTAATACAGGTCATTAATGAAGATGTTAAGTAGTATTGGCCCCAGTAACAGTCCCTGGGGTGCATCACTAGTGACTGACCTCCAGCTGGACATGGTGCTGCTGATCACAACCCTCTGAGCTGGTTGTCAGTCCACCTCACTTACCACTTGTCTGGCCTGCACTTTATCAGCTTATCTGTGAGGATTTTGTGGGAGGCAGTGTTGAAAACTGTACTCAATAGGTCAGTGGGGTCATCCTTTATCAGAATGGCATCTAATGAGCTATTATGAATTTTACTTCTAATAACATGCCTCCGAACTTTTCTCTGTGATGCTAAGACACTTTTCTTCTTTTTCATTGCATAATTCTATTAAATTAAGTTTTTTAAGCAAATGGTTCAGTTTTTGGAATGCAGAAAGAAGATAGCATATTCTGAAAGGCTCCCTGCAGCTGAATGAAGCTAGGTTCCCTAAAATCCCTTTATAAGCTATACAGGGTGGAAAGAGAGAAGAGCATCCAAAGGATGAGTCAAGATGGTTAAATTATGGCTAATTATCTGGATTGCATCCTAGAGGAGTTTCTGTCTCCCTGTTAACATGCAGAGCTGGTAGGAAGATTAGTTTTTGTACATTTATGTGAGTTATCCCTTACTCCCAGAGGCCCCTGGAATGATCAGAGTTTTGAATCTTGTGATCTTTCTAGAAAGAACAGCTTCTACATTATTTCCAGCACTGTTTTACCATCTCTGGAAGTTACTATCTGGGTGATTCCAGTCATAACAGAGTGGAAATTGGCTTGAGATACCTGTGTCTTGTCTTCTCTCAGCTTCTCTGCCTTATTGATATAAAGCAATAAATTTAATATGTACCTTCTTGTTGCAGCTTAATACCTACTCTGTTACATGTTTTCTTCCTTCCTTCCTTCCTTCCCTCCTTCCTTCCTTTCTTCCTTCCTTCCTTCCTTCCTTCCTTCCTTCCTTCCTTCCTTCCTTCCTTCCTTCCTTCCTTCCTTCCTTCCTTCCTTTCTTTCTTCTTCCATATACATGTATATAAGATGTTTCTTCAACAGCAATCAAGCATTGATTAATTAAAGGCATTGAATAAGAAAGGGCATTAAAAATGTTATTTGTTGCAAGCTGCCACCTCCTTTCTCAGTCCTTTTTCAAAAACAAACTTTGGAATTGAAATTTCATTTCGCTAATTTGTTTGCTGATTAGCTGGAGAGCTCTTCCAAATCCTTTTCCTTTATTAATTTATCATGTATGTA